TGAAAATTTATTTTGAAGAATCTGTTGGCTCTTCAATGAATGTCCACATGAACTTTCGATTATTTTTCGCATCATAATTGAACCGGGATGGCCAAACCGGTCATGCCAAACAATAAAGTTATCAGTAAACTTCTGGTTTACTATAGCATATGTTTTTATTGAATTGATTTTTGTGTAGTACAAACCAGTAGAGAATATAGGAAACTTCTCAAGAACTTGTTTATTGCCTTGAGTAATTATCATAATTTGAAGAAGTTCAAGATGCCCTTCACTTATGGACTCAATATGATATCCATTTTGGTGAATATCTTTAAAACTCAATAAATTTCTTTGAGACTTAGGGGAATATAACACATCAATGATTTCAAACTTTGTTCCCCTTAACAATATTACATTTTCTCTTCCGGAACCTTTTATAATGTTTGTAATACCAGATATAGTGCTCACACTTTCTTCTTTTATTATTAAAAGAGAAAAATATCTCTTATCTTTGAGTATGGCGTGAGTAGTTGCATAGTTTGCTATTAATCTTTATCATTCAATGCTAATTGCATTTGAGAGGTATTCATAATTTTATTCAAAGAAGAAAAAAACTTGTCACAAAAACAATTATAATGTCCAAAACATATATCCAAATCCAAATATTAAAATATCCGATAATAAAATGTCTCATAAAATAATAATAAACCTAGATAATTAAAATAAACATAAGTTGATAGAGTTTAGTACGATAAATGAAAATTTGTGGACTTAATTATTTCCTTCAGGGGTAAAATAAAAATCATCAGTTTCCAAGTGGGTTGTATTGCTAGCATCAAAATCACCTTCACCATCTTCATACACAAGATTTGTCTCTGCTTTCTTTCCCTTCTGTTTTAGTGATTGTTGATAAATATTAACTAGGTGCTTTTGAGTACGCATAGACGTGACCAATGACCTTTTCCTCCACAACGATAACATTTATTGGTCACATTGTTTTCCTTTTCTTTCTCATGCTTGCTTTCATCTTTACGATCCCACTTCCGGTGGGAATATGAGTTTCTAAAATGACCACCTTGACCATATCTATACCCACGTCCACGTTTGCGACTATAACCATGACCACAGTCGCGTCCATTACCACTTCCATTGCATGGTTTCTTTCTTTCAATTCTTGCCCATTTTTAGTTGTCACATTTTCTTCAAGGAATGAAGCAGATCTAGTTGGGCGTAATTAATGATTTTTCATTAGTAGCTCGTTGTTTTGCTTAGCCATTAGGAGACAAGAAATTAATTTAGAATATTTCTTGAATCTTTTTTTTCACGATATTGTGTCTGTAGGACAATATTATTTGCGTGGAAAGTGAAGTATGTTTTTTCTAACATTTCTACATCAGTAATTTTTTCTTTACATAAATTCAACTGTGAAGTGATTCTAAACATGACCGAGTTATAATCACTAACAAATTTAAAATCTTGTAATCTTAAATTCAACCAATCATAACGAGCTTTATGCAAAATTATAGTTTTCTGGTGGTCATACATTTCCTTTAGATTGATCCAAAGGATTTTAGGGTCTTTAACAGTCAAGTATTCAATCTTAAGACCTTCATGAAGGTGATGGAGAAGGAATATCATGAATTTAGCCTTTTCTTGTGTTGTTGCTTTATTTCCTTCCTTAATGGTCTCACCAATACCCTTTGCATCCAAGTGAATTTCAGCATCTAGTACCCACGAGAAATAGTTTTTTTCGAGTGATGTCCAAGGCCATAAATTCAAGCTTTATAAGATTTGACATGATTACTATTATAATTAAAAAAACTAATTGGGTGAATGTCACATACTCATATACATACAAAAAATGTTATAAAAATGAAAAAAATCTAAAAAAAACTAAATTATAATTAAAATGACAAGGCATGGTTACACTCTAATCATGGTGATAAATGATAAGAAAGTCAAACATCAAAACATGTTTTACAAGTTGAGCTAATATATACGAGATATCTAAATTAAATCACTGTTATAAACAAGAGATTTGTATATTATAACAAATTCATATGAATAAAGTAATGGACAAGCCTTAAATAATATACAATAAAGGAAAACATAAAATAAAACTATTCACACATGCCAAAACTAGAAAAAATCATGCAAAGTTATAAATCTCTTTACAAAGTAAGTGTACTTAAATAGTAAATCTCAATAAAAGAAATTATGTCACGTGTCCTTTTAACAATGATAATAGATTATACCTTAATAGATGCTAGATTATGGAGATCTACACACCTGAGTAAAATTGGTAACGTTGGATTCACTTTTGTTCAGCCTTGCCCAACAATATTTTTGGATCATACTGATAACGTCTTTTAAAATAAAGGAGAGACATGTGAGAGAAAATAGAGATAGATTTATCTATATTTTTATATTTTGATGAGTACATGAACCCCATATATATAGAGATGAAGAATGCTATCTTATAAATATAATACATGTGAAGAGTAAAATCCTTTGACGTTTCATCTTCTCAATTCATTAAAGAATGCTAAAAGTCACATAAACTGATAGAAATAATAATGACATCCACATAATATATTCATATCATATATATACATTTATATATCAAGAAAATATATAGCGCAAGAGAGTAGGTTAATAATAAAATATATTACTCTTAATCTAATTTAAGAATAAAAAAATGGAAAGAGAAAAAAACTAGTCGATGACATTAAGGCAACACTCGTCAAAGAGTGTTCAATCCATCGGTTCAGTTAATCATTTGTCTGTGGCATATACCATTAGCGCCGTTCACTCTAATACGTCTCCCTGAGTCAATTGGGGGCTTCGGTTTCATCATTGCTAACTTCATGTAGGAGTTTGGAACTGGGAAGGTTTCTCTCGTTGGTGGAATGCCTTTCTACTACTCTTTGTCGTAAAATAAGTTTGATAAGAGGTTTAGGGTTTAAGATTTAAATTCATAACTTTTGAAACATACTTTGATATTTTGATATATAAAAAAATTATTTATTATTTTTAATAAATTATAAGATTATATTCAATTCAGTCATTCGAATATATAAATTTGTTTTAGAGTCAAAAACTCCATTTTACTCCTTACTAATATTAAAAATAATTTAGACATATACTGAAAATAATTTTAAAAATATTTTACAAAGGATTTTGAACTTTAATCGAGTCAAAAATTATTTTCAAAACCAGAAGTATCGATACTGTAAGAACAATATCGATATTGTTCATGTAGTATCGATAAAGTATTGATGCTAATAGCTTAAAAATACACATCAGTACCTATACTCCCTTTGTTGTGCAAATTCCAATAAGTATTTTGGTATTGATACTCTTCCAGTATCAATATCAATATCGATACTCTAGATGGCAGTAACGATACTGCCCTTATATTTTTAAGAATTTCAAATTCCCGTATATCATTTTGGTATCGATACTCCAATAATCAGTACCAAAATTCCCTTTCTCAATGGATGTATTTTTGTATTTAATGGTGGTAGTATTGATATTCCAAGCCCGAGTACTAATTCCCCAAGCGTCTGGGCAACATTTATTATGGGAAACTACCTCTCAACGGCTCTATTAACTTCCACAATAAACCAAACATATAGAATTGAATGAGGGAGTATAAAAACAAGATTTCAAGTCATATGTGATGACAAGAGATTAAAAAGAAAGCCAAAACAATCAAATAGGCAAATTCAAGTTAACATTCTTCAATATTCCTTTTGCTTTCAAAGAATATTTTTGTACTCAATTTGTATTCATTTTTCAAGTGTTCTTATTTGTTCTTGAATTGTGCAAACACGTTCCTAGTGAGGTTTTTATAAGTTTGCAATTTGTATATTTCTCTTTGGGATAGTATCTCAAGAATTTGAGGTATAATTATTGAGAGAGTTGTAAGGTTACATCTTATCCTCAAAAGTTACTACAAATTAGTGAATTTGTGAAAATCCTTAGCGTAAATAACTAAGATAGTAGATGAAGAGTTTGGTTTAAAAAATTGATCACTCTAAATTTTTGTGTTCATTTTTTAATATTTTTTTAAGTTTTCACCAAATTTTTTTTACCAACTTACCCCTTTTGACTATTTTATCTATTCGATTGATTCAACAATAAGCCTTTAAATTTAATTTTAGAAGATTTTGTATATTTCCGACCATCAGTGGATGCCACATGTGCCACATGTGTCGTCTCTATGCATGGTCTTCATCTGCCGCTTGGAAGCTCAATTGCTCACTTTATCTGACCCATATCAAATCCATACCTGACCGGTACCAACATAGGCGATTCTCCAACCCTTTGCAACCGTTGCCCAGTGGTCCTATTATGCTTAGGCTAACTGAGTTGGAAGCCCAATGTGCAATGGTTGAACCAAATCAGTCCAAAAGTAAGATCAAATTGAAACAAAATCGAACCAAAGTTTAGACTAGATTAGATTGATCCAGGTTAAGTCGAGCCAAATCGAGTTGAATTGAATCGATTATTAACATCAATATAATTCATCTAATCTATTATTTTCTCAACATTTGCTTGAGTTCAAAATCGATAAAGATATAAAGAATGCTTAAATCAAAATATTTAATTCAATTAACAATAATTTTAGTGTTTTGAGTCAAAATATTAAAATTTTAAAGTATATAAAGACTAAAATATTCATTTCAATAATAGATGGATTAAAATAAACATTTAAATACAATCTAAAAACTAATTTTTTTTTATGTAGGAATTATGATTAACTTTTAGAGGACAGTATACCTATATAAGTACTTAAATTTTGGTAAACAATTACAATCAAATCTGATTTAAATTTATATAATGAAATTGAATCAAACAATAAATGATATCAGATTATAAATCAATTACACCGATTGAGATATATACAAAGATATAAGTTATACCGATTGAGATTTAGATACCATATGTGACTCGCTTTATAAGCTGGTCATACTCTTTCCATACAAATCTGCAAATCAAAGCCAAACATAGGAAAACGGGTGGGGAAAAAAACAGTTGCTTGCACGATCTTTAAGCAATTAAACCCACCTTTCTGTGACCTTACACAGCAAAGCTTAAACCTTTCTTTGATTTCCTTCATCTTTTGTTGCCTTAGCTTTCTGGTTAAGCAGAGAGTTCATTCATTAGCCATAATATATAAAGGTATGACCTCCCCTTCCTTCTTTATCCCCATTTTCCTTTTTTTTAGTTTTTCCTACCGTCTACAAGGGGGTTTGAGAGAAACTGCTGTCTGGGTTTTGGTTTTTGGATTGGTTTGAACGATGGGTTCATTCGAAATGTGATGTTTGAGATGACTTTGAAGTGATAATCGGATGTTTCTTCTACATTGTTTTGGTGGTTCCTCTTATTTTATTTGTTTTTGAATTGTTTATTTCTTCTTTGATTTAATCTTCAAAGATGGAATTTTCTGTTCTTGTTCATTTTTTTCTGGGAAAATTTGTTTTACTTTATTATTATTTTTAGTTATGATATTAGTGGAGATTTAGCTTTGATTGTGTTTCTTTTTGGTATGAATTTTAGGTGAGACATAGTCTTCATTGATGGATTATTTATCAATTTCTAAGATTGGTAGATTAGAGAATTTTTCAACACCTTCTTTCTTTCTTTCTCAACAATTTAACACCCCAAAAAAATTGTGACCCTATTTTTATAATAAAAAAATAAAAAAATAGATTTTTTATTTTGTATGGTTCATATGGTTATTAACTGTTCGATTGAACAGATTGTACTGTATATTTTATGTTTTCCTTTTTTCCCCCAGAAACTTTCCATTTTGCTTGTATATTGAACAAGAATAGAATGTATATCATTTGTTTATATATGAAATGTTTATATTTATCACTTTCTTTTATGTCCTTGTTGCTATATGCTTTCTAGTTCATGCTGATTGTTGTAGAACTGCCTTCGAATTTGTTGCTGTTGTCTCTTATTGTTAACTTCGAGATTATATCGATCACAACTACTAACTCCTAGTGATCTTTATTCTTTATGTTTTGTTATCCAGGCAGACTAATTTTGTTAATCTCTCGAGCTAATTAATATTCGGTATAGTAGCAGAACAGAGCTAGATTGGTTCTTTTATATGCTTCATTCATCTCGCAGTCCTTTTTATGCGTTTATCTAGTGTAACATCAAATAATATAGTGTTGGTTGGTTTCCAGGACTATCTGGTTTCTTAACTTCGATTTGCTTCTACATATTCGATGGCTGCGGAGAGTATCAGTTCACCAGTGACACTAGATATTTCTGGGTCAGATGGGGGCAATTCGAGAAGATCCTTGGCGGGAGCAGATTCAGTGAGAAGCAGAGAGAAAATACTTCCTCGTTATCTGAGAGCTTCTACCGGTTCGTGTCATGATTTCTGCAAATATGGAAAGAAACATGAATCTGAAGAGAATGCTAAACTTCCCTTCCGGAAGAGGAATATGAAAAAGCCATCAAATGAGTCAAATTTAGTTCGGAGCTTAGACTTACAGGAGAGGAAGAAGACAACCGGAACTGAATTCAAATATTTCCCCAATTCCCGATCTCGTACCCCTGATTCGTCGGAGGCGGTTGAGTTTCAGCTGTCACCCTACTCTCCTGATAGAAATAATTCTTCAATTAATGGTGTTCGGTCTGATAAAGAAAAGACATCAGCAGCAAAGCCTAAGTCCAAACATTCACGCATTTCCAGTAGTCCCCATGACACCTCCAATGTCCTCAAGTTTGAAGTGTCAACAACTACTTCGGACAGGCAAACTTCTAGAAAACATGAAATACTATCAAAGGGAAAAAAGACATCAATGGCAAAGCCCAAATCTTTACCCAATTTGAAATTGCATTTATCCGATGCCCCGAAAGTCATGCTGAAGGGTGGATCACCATCTTCTAAGAAACTAGGAGTCTCTTCAAAAGAAGGCTCGTTGGAAGTTAAAGAGAAAAGCTTTTCTAAATCACGTAATGCTTCTTCGAAACTGAAATCTCATGCAGAAAAGCTTCCTTTAGCTTCTGTCCCGTCAGAAGGTTTAAGTGTTAAGAGGAGCAATGGAATTAGTGATATGAAGATGGGGAAAAGGACCAATACTGCAAAAGTTTCTGTAAAAAAAGCATTGTCATCTCCGAGAGCCTCATTGTCTCTGATAGCTAGGCCCCTAACTGCAAGAAAGAACCAGAACCTAAAAGTGGTGCCTCTACAGAAGAATCAGAACAAGGTTGAAGAGGCTGAAACTGAACAACCTCTCGATGTACATGAAGTACGCAATAGCGACTCACTTGAAGAGAAAACCTTGTATGTTATCAAGATGGAGACGGAAAATATATTGTTGGAATCTGATAAAAATGAAAATTGTGTTGCCGAATTGTCTCCACCTATTGCTTCGTCTCCCAAGTCTAAAACTCTCCCAATGTCTCCACCTTTGTCATCACACGGAGCAGGAGATGAAAATGAGTTTGAGTATACAGAGGATAGCTCCAACTCTGAATATTATGAAGATGATGAGGATGTTGAAGATGAAACTGCAAATGCGGAAGAAGTGGAAATTTTGGAGGGAGAAAATAGAGGAAGGCCCAGAAATTCTAGGATGGTATGTTCTGATGAAAAGGATTGCCGACCCATGAAATTATCTTTTAGGAGAGGCAAGGTTGTTGACATTCAATCCGAGAATAATGGTGCAAGGAGGCTCAAGTTCAGGAGAGGAAGACTACTTGCGGGGAACCAAAATGTTAAGGGCGAGCGGAGAACCTTTAGAACAAGAGAACATGAAGGTTCCGTGGATGACAACCAACCTGGTGGGGAAAAAGTTGTTTTGAGACACCAAGATTTGCAGCAGGGGAAGAAAGACGAAAAGGGTTTGTTTAACAACGTCATTGAGGAAACTGCTAGTAAACTGGTCGAAACCCGGAAAAGTAAGGTTAAGGCCTTGGTTGGTGCGTTTGAAACTGTCATCTCCCTCCAAGACGCCAAACTGTCGGCAAACACTTGAGCTGCGGCCAACCGTCTCTGGTAACAGTTTGTTCATAAGAAAGTGGTAGGAGAATGAAGCTAAACTTTGGAGACTTAACTATGTGCTTTACACAGCTGTGGCAATTTAAAAGTAGATTTCAGCTTTTCGAATTCGAGATCCCTGATATTGACATGCTTCACATACAGTGGTGCAAAGGGTACGTTTTTAGTCTTTGGGAGTTATACTATGATTGATTTTCCATCATGTGAACAAGTCAAATATACTCATGATAGGTTACTTTTAGGTGATAATGAGCATGCCATGCCTGCCTGCCTGCCTGGTAACTGCAATTTATTTGTTTTCTAATGGCTCATTTGGTGTGTTTTTCTCTTCTAAATGTCATGATTCTGTTTTCCCTGGTTTATTCTATATATTGTGTTCATTGTTTTGTTATCATATATTCGGATTCAAAGATCCTTCAAATATTTAATGTCATTTGCAAGTTAAGTATTATGTGGAATTGTCCTTCTCTAGGGTTGTATATGAATAAAGAGTTTGGTAAACTATTCGTAAACTTCTCAAATAAAGTTCATTTATTAATGTAAATAAACGAGTTTGAATAAAATTTGTATGTTCATTTAATAAACGAACAAGAACAGTGGTGTTCGGTTTGTTTATGTTCACAAACAAATTCATTTATAAATTCTTTTTTTATTCCAGTTTTTCTTATTTTTTTCCTTATTTTTTTATATTTTAAATATTAGTAAAGATAGGGATATTTTATCATTTGGAGTTTAAACTGAAACTTAAAAGAGGTTAAGGACTAGTGTAATTTTGTCATTTTCTACAACTTGTAAATAAAAGGGTAAAATAAACAAAAGAGCATGTTCACGAATATATATATGGAAATATTTATGAACGTTAAACAAACTGAAGACGGATATTTTAAAAATAAACAAATGAACACGAGCATGATACTAAAAATTTAAACGAACATGAATTGAATATGAACATCTTTAAGATTAAACTAATGAACAAAAACATAATTTTATTGATTAAAATCCTATTTATTTACATCCATATGTTTCTCTTAAGAAAATCAAACAATTTCATTTGCGGAACTTTTCAAAGACAACTAGTGTTTTATCTCTCTTTCATTAAATTTGATTTTAATTCAGTTAAATTAAAAAAATAAAGTACACAAATGGTCTATCAATATAAGATATTATTTTGTTGAGTTTATTTATTATTAAAAATTAAAAGTAGTCCTTCGACTATAGGACACTACTTTGTTAACTTCCCTGACTATTAGAAGTTACAAATTAGTCACCCCTAATAATCACCCAACTGTTTGAACTGTCTTTTGTGGATCGATTCTATGTTTATATTATATCGTCGAACTAATGCTTGAAATATTTTGCCTCCAGGTCAATGCTTGAAAGTAACGGTGATGCCGGTAGGCATCATTAAAATATGATTTTATCATATCTCAATCAACAAGTTAACGTCTAGCTCAAAAGGACTTCAATTTTCAATGAAAAATGACGAGTTTGGAACATATGAATAGTCGGTGACCATTTTGTAACTTTTAATAGTCACATGACTCAACAAAATAACACCCTATAGTAGGGAATCATTTTGTAACTTTTAATAGTCGAGTGACTCAACAAGGCAATACCCTATAATTCGGGACCATTGTATACTTTATCCTTAAAAATTTGATCTTATGAATTTTGACTCTCAAATTTAGTTAAACACTGATTTTACATGATTTCAAGATAAAATTTAACCAAACGGGTCTTTCAAATATTTTATTTTAGTAATTCATTATAGAATATTTATATTAAAACTTAAGGAATTAACATAGAATTTGTATATGATGAAAGAAAAGGTCTTGAAAATTTTAAATAATAGTTTTATACATAAAATGGGTTTTAAATATTTTATTCTATTAATTTATTATTTTAATCATTAAAATAAACATTATTTTTATTAAAATTTGTTTCAAATTATTCAAACTTAAAGTTTAAGTGATAAAAATGAATTAAAAATTGATACTCATAGGAAAATTCTTTGGGTAAACTATGTGAATAGTACCCTATGTTTTCAGTCTCACTAACTTTGGTCACCAATTTAAAAATTAAGGGGAAATGGTCCATAAAGTTATCAATCCGTTTGATTTTAGCACCTAATGTTATCGATCCATTTGATTTTAGTCCCTTAGCCGTTAACTCCTGTTCAATTTTAGTCCCTCAACCATGTTAGGGACTTAAACGAAAGGACTTAAACGAAAAGGGTTAACGGAAATTAATAGCAAAGGGACTTAAACCGGACGAATAATGTTAGCGACTGATAATGTGAAAGACCATTTACCCTTAATTTTTAAATTGGTAACTAAAGTCAATCAGACTCTAAACAAAAATGATGTTCAATACAAAATATACAATGAAAAATATTAATATAAATAAATAATATTGATAATAAATTTGAATTTTGAATTATAGTAGCAAATTTTCTAAGTCTTTTGTGCAAGTGCCGGGCCGATAGTTGGGCCTCAGATTGTATCTTCATGGAGCCGTGTACTCGATCTAAATTCATATTTTATTTTTTTATTTAAATTTAATCATAAAATATAAATATAATTTATTTTAATATTATTTTTAATCAGAAATTAGCTTTCAATTTAGAACTTTATAAATCCAATGGTAACTCAAGAAATAAATCTCTCTTTTTATGTTATATATAATTAATTCTAAACATGTATATGTTTTTGTCGTCTCTTTCATTCAATGAGTTATTATACAATTTATCTTGATTCAATTTAGGTTTATTATCCATAACTATGATTTAAGTGGTTAAAAGGATGGTTGTTATTTTAGAAGTTTAGGATTAGAACAAGATGTCTGCATGGGTGTTTGTGTGTTCATTGTCAAATGGTTGATACTCTTTCGAACAGATACTTACCTTGTAATCACCTTAGATTAATTCAAAAAAAGATTTTATTAATTTGATTTTTATTCCAACTTTATACTTGTATAGATCTAATTTTTATTGCCTATATCTTGTTGTTAAGTATGATTATAATTCTTGAATGTTTTAATTATGATTATTATTATAATTATATTCATACTTTAATATTTAAATATTTAATTACGATTGTCTTTATAATTATATTTGTACATATATTCACTTCAATATATATAATTGTGGTAAAAGAAATTAAGATAACATGTTGAATATATTGGTTAGACCAAGATTGTGATTGATTGGATTTTATGGAATGGTCCCCAATCAAAAGTAAAGTAATTTGGACCGTCCACATATGATGAGGTATACACATGGTAGGGTACCAAAGGGACCAACTTAATCCTCTAAATATATTTTAATTTTCTTGGTTGATAGCAGAAAAGGACAGATGAGTGGTTATCCTATCACCATATGGGATTTGTAAAATACATCTCATGTTACTTAATTATATATTGGAAAACTATTTAAGGTACCATTGAACTTTACTCGTTAATTCGTTTATACTATTAAACTTTTAATTTTGTCAATCATAACATTGAACTTTAATTTTATATGCAATTATAACACTCCATTGTTAAGTTGGTAGCGGGATGATCACATGGCTAATGGGCTCTTGATGTGGCTTGTCACACCAAAATAATGTTTTGGTGGTGTTGTTATGATGCCTAAAACGATGTGTTTTAGACACTGAACTTTAAGGGTGTATCGATTTTTTTGATAAACTTTTAAACATTTTTCTTTTTAGCACTGTACTTTCCAACCGCCCCTGGCAGCCAAGTACCGCCCTTCACCAATCATATTTCACGGTAAGATAGATATCAAAATGTTCGTATTATACTTTTCTTTTTTCTCATATTGATTTCCAAAAAACTCACTCAAAATCGACGAATATTTATTTAAAAATTTGGCGTATTAATGCTTTGATCTATTTAAAGACTAATAGAATTAATGAATAAGCTAAAGATGCAAAATATTAAAATCTGCCTAGTTTTGTTTAAAACAAACGGAGACTGATTTCGATGTGTATATTGGAAGATATGAATTTTTGACCGATGATAGGTCAGAAAACAAGGCAACATATTCTGCTATAGACAGATTTTGGAAATTGAAATAGAAAATTCACCATAAAATGTACAAGTTGAACTAGAAGGATAAATTTATATGGTTGAATTCATATTTGAATCTAGTTTCTAATGGAACAAACTAAATCAAATTTCATTATGGAGATTAATTCAGAAAAGTAATTCTTTAAAGGTAGTGCAAGCTGCCAGAATAGAAAAATGGGTAGTAAATCCTGCATGCTATATTACCTTTATGTTATATGTCATTGTAAAGGCTTGGGAGAAGTCAACTTTATTATATTGACACGATAATTATGATTTTCATGATTTATTCATGATATGTGGAAATGAAATATTTAGGATATGAACTACTCATTGTGCTATTATATGAAATGTTTGATATATTGTTATCCTTAATAATTAAATAACATGTGATAACTAATGAAAATGTCCATTGTATATACTTTGAGAGTTTTTAGTATAGTTGACATGTCATAGAGTATTCACAGTACATTCAAAGTACATTATATAATACAGTGTTGAAACACGTTCATGGTACTATTGTAGTCTCAGGATACATTATATAGTATAGTGTTGAAACTCGTTGATGGTGCTATAGTATTCCTGACTATTGGTACCTTGATACAGTGATGATGGTATCTGTACAAGTGGATTTGTACTAGAAGTGCATCTATCGGCTTGCATACCTTGCTTTCTTATTTATTTACTTTGTGTTATGATATAAAAGAATTTGAAAGGTACAAATTATGTCATATATTTTCAAAGTTAATTTTTTCATTGATTATATTTGAATTAAGCATAAAATACCTTATATCCAAATTGAGGTTTCTCAGGTTATCTTTGAATTGAAATTGATTTGATACAAGTCTATTTTATATTTTCATATACTATCATGTAACAATTATATTTCGTATTATGATTATGTTTTACTTGGTATTGTGATTAATGCCTCACTAAGTGTATACTTAGTGTATGATTTTCACACTTAGGTAAAGAATAAAGATTCAAGTAAGGAGTACTTGACATGTTATCTATCGAGAAGCATGCTTACAGTATCAGTAATGATATCTATATGATTTATTTTGACTTTACTAGTTTTCATTTATAAGTTAATTGTTTTTGGTCTAAACTTTATTTAGACATAGTTTGTAATAATTTATGAGCTAGTTTTTACTAGAATCGATGGATAATGGTTAAATTGTTGGATAAGTAGTCTGATTATTATTAGTTTAGTTATAAAGAAAAAATGAATTATGGGTTAACAATTCAATAATATAGATCCATAAAAATGGAACCTCAAATTAAAATTGAATTTAG